TTGATGCAGCGATCACAAGCGTTGATGAAGTGCAACGCCTCTACTCAGTCCACACGAACAGCTCCCGGTCACAGTGTTAGCTGCTTACGAACGGAATTATTTGAGTGAGAAAAGAGAATCAAAAACGAAATTGCATCAAGTGAAAGCTTCATCACAAGGGTTCCTTTTATAGACTCTCTTGTGGGCTGCGGGCTAAAAACTCAATTCACATGATCCATAATAATATTATATATATTATTATAATAACTATTATTATAATAAATATATTTATTTTATTATTATTTTATAGCCATTATAAAATAACAATAATTATTATTATATTATCCGAATTTCTATTTTTCACTTAAGTGCACCGTACCTTACGGTGTTCCTTTGATTTCTCTATCTCTCATCAAACTGTCCTTATGTGTGTGACCCTGTAGGATTTCGTAACGTTGGTAATTATATTAAATCATATATTTAACATAATAAACAGTAAGCGGTATCTAGCAACACATCACTGCTACCCAAGTCACGAAAATGTCATGTGATCTGACAAAACCTTTTTCGTGATAATATATGTTTGTACAATTACCCTTTTGCCCCTATGTCTATATTGAACACAAGGCATACACTGTGTCATCCTTGTCCAGTTCAATATTGGGCCCTTAGACATTTCTCCTGTTATGCAGGATTGGCAAATTCCATCTAGGACACTCATGTCCCTCAGCATGCTTCGTGGAGTGCCCATCAACTGTCTTTATGATCATCCAGTTACGGATAATGTTTGATCAGCAATAAAGCACCCGACTCTACATCTAGGGTCCATAGTGGTTTCAGGTCGAAGGGTGGTAATACACCATTATCACCATGAGAATAACTTATGACACTTTGCATAACATACTATGTAGTATTCTCATAGCGGGTCAATCCGGTATAAATATTACTCCTAATATTTATACCTATGTCAAGACTTGATAACTCTTTATCCATGATCCATGAGATGTGATCATCAGTCTATCTTCATAATAGTCTCAATGCTTTTAATGTTATCCCACTTTGCAATAAAGCTTGACTACGGATATTTTAAGAATAATGTCTTTATGTTTAATGGGATCTCATGATTAAGTCACACTTAACATTTCATTAAACAGACTAACTATTCTAGGGACTTTATTATTCTGAAAGACAAACATAATAAAGAAATGCCTTTTATTATTAAACGAATAATCCGATACAAGTACCAAAAAGTATTGGCCTCTAGGGCTTACACCAACAGTCTCGCAGTTAACTTTTAATAAGAAACTAATGGTGTTTACCAGATTTTAGGATAAACAAATTGGCACATCGGGTAGGACTTTGTGCTACTATTTTCAATTAAATTTTTATAATTAACGTGTTTTCTCTGTATATGGTTTGTTTTGCATGACATAATGCCAATTGTCATATCTCGGGAAATGAGAACATGACCTTGAGAAGTGCAATTGCACCCTCACGGATGGACTAACAGAGTCGCCACCGAACTTTATTTATTCCCAAAGAGGGAAATGGAAAATATTGATAAAATCCCTAAACGAAAAGAGAAGACATGGTCATCGCAACCAAATGTCGAGTTCAGGAATCGGTTACACAAGGGGAAGGTACTAGCACACCTCACGTTTGTTGTGCTCAACGTAAATAGTTTGGTTATTCGTGCGCGTTAGTATTTTCTTAGACATGATATGCTTCTCAAGTTATTAAAAGAAAAAAGGATATGACAAAAATGTTTATTTTTATTAGGGTGTTCGCCAAGACTTTGCAATCTCGTGCCTACATATCCTTATAGTATAATAAGGAAATCAGAACATTCATAGTTCAGGATTACGGTTGGTCGATTGGTTTTATGATGACGAGAGCTCCAACCACGAGAGTTACATCTCAAATCCTCACTCTCGAGAAAAAGTTGACTACAATCCACTCCTTTTTCATCCTTTGTTTAAAAGTGTTTAATAGTTATTAAGTGTTTTTTTGATTTGATTGAGAAAATGTCACTTGATGTTGGGTCAAGAGTTTGATGATCGTGTACGAAAAGGGTCGAAGTGAAAGTTGGAAATGATTTTGAATGGATTGATGTTGGAAGGTTGACGACGATGCTAAAAGCGATTGACTTACAAATTAGGCATGGAAATGGTTTTGAATGGATTGAAGTTGGAAGGTTGACGGCGATGCTAAAAGCAATCGACTTACAAATTATGTATGGAAATGATATTAGATTGGTTTTATGAAAGTTGTTTGATGTTGGATCAAACTTATTTGTGTTCTTTTTTAACATGTAATTGATTTTATTCTTGTATTAGAGGCTACCTAAACAAAGGCAATCAAAGAGAAAACGGTAAAAAATTATTGCACGTCATGGGAATGCCGGTATATTTTGTCAAATGGGGATAATACCAAATTAAATCCATCACGCAAATGCATGCAAATGTAAGTGTAAGGTGCAAAGCAAGTCCCATTGTAAAAAATCCCAAGAGTAAGCTATGTGAGGTTGATGACGATCGTAGAAACGATCGACTTACAAGGGTGTTTTGAAAATGAATTGATATTAATCAAGAATTAGTTTGTGAATGGTATAAATAAGAAAATGAGAAATGAAATCAAGATGCATCATGATATAAGTAAAATATGTAAGCAAAAGCATAATCTAAATAAGATCAAGCATCACACAATTAAATTAACCAAGCAATACACAAATTCATTAATTAAATTAAATATAAATATTTAATATAATTAATTAATTAATTAATTAGTATTAAATAAATATATTTATAATTATTAATGATAAACATTTTTATTTTATTTTTTAATATTAGGAAAGAAAGCAACATAACAAAATTAATTAAGTTAAATATAAATATTTACTAAAATTAATTAATAAATTAATTAATATTAAAAAATATTTAAAATAATTATACAAAATATTTTTGAATTTTTAATATTAAAGAAAAAATAATCAAAAAAATAAATTAAAAAATATAAAAGTAAAAGAAAATAAATAATCACTCATAAAAAGTACCTTTTTAGCATAGGTTTTTAAGTCAGTTCATCAATAACCCGACTTAAGAAACCACACGGTGGCAAATCCATAAATATTTGAAACTTTGTTATGTCGTGTCTATGTTTAACTGACCTATCAAAGATTAAATAAAAAAATGTAATTTACATTAAATTTCTTAAGTAGGTTCTTTTACCGAAATGACTTAAGAAGTTTATTTATTAAGTCACGTGTTTATTACCTGACCTAAGAGAGTGAACCTTATCAACCACGATTGATCCTAGGGCGAGATCTGGAGCGTTGAATTATGAGGATAGTCACAAAATTGACTCATCCAAACATTTAAGCACGGTTCTTATTATCAACCATGGTGATATATATATATATATATATATATATATATATATATATATATATATATATATATATATATATATATATATATATATATATATATATATATTCTGGACTGCCACAATGGCTATGCATGACCCAATTCACTTCTGCTCTCAGAACGACTCAATTACCTAAGTCCAACCTCTTTGGCTTTTCTGCCCCTCCAATAGGGGAGGATGACCTATTTATCCTTGGTCACATCACTTCTCCCCGTCAGACTCTTCCCATCATGCACGACTCTACCATCCAGAAACAGCCAATTTAATTTTATGAAAAAGAGAATTAAATGTAAAAAAATTAATTTCTTTATAAATGAGACTTTATCTGTGTGTGTCGCATTCTCATATGATACATCCTCTCTATATGAGGACATATTCTATGAGAATGTCATTTTTATTTGATAACATTAGAATGTATTTGAACTATTAAATTTTAAAATAAATGGTGGAGATTATGTGTGGCTTTTGTTTTTCTCTCACCGTCATTATTAAAATAAATGATGGAGGAAAGAGGAAAAATATTGACACATAATCTCTACCATTTATTTTAAAATCTAATTGTTCAGATTTATTCTAATATTCTCACATAAAAATTGCATTCTCATATGATATGTCGGTATTCGAACAAATTATCGTTTTTGACCTGGGCATTGCTTGTAAATTCAATTGTTTAAGTTAGCTTGTACCATAAATTAGCTTGTAATGGATAATTTGCGTGTGTTTATCATGGTTAACTAGTTTGTGCAGGTGCAGTGATTTTGAGAGTTCTTTCAGTCAAGCATTTTAGGGGGCATATTCATTTCTTATCCAAGGATCCTAGGGTTTTCTGTTGGTCTGAACCTTCCAAGATTGACTCGACTAGATCTTCCATAAAACTAGTGAGCATGGGAATTCAAATACTGCCATGGTTTTCATGATAGGCTACATCACAAGTGAATGTAGGGAAAACATAAAGGATGCCCTACATAAGTTTTAAGGATCAAACGGCGAATAAGTTGCTCAGGCCCATGTCCATTCGCCCTGAGATACACCGCAAGTAAGCGCGAAATTCAAAATTCCGTCATGGTTCATGAATTGGACTCATAAGACCCAAGAGTTCCATGTGTTCTAAATTCAAAACCTAAAGGTCAAAATGAGGAACCATTTTCTTATTCATGGCCATGCTCACACTAACTAAGTAAAAGTATTCACAAGGAAACACAAGGCCTTGAGCGCTTTATTGCTTTTCCTGATATAATACGTATGGGACATACATTATCCTGGAATTTCTTTGACGGTACTTCCTGTTTTCTTGCTGCTGCTCATAAAGCTAATAATATTTGTTATTAAAGCCAAACTTAGGTGTTTTCCCAAGGAAATCAAGAGTGAATGTCGGTTATTCAAGTTATTACAACATTGATGCAAGGCTCTAACTAAAATGAAGAAACATCTCGTCGGAAAATTACAAAGGATCTTAAGAAAAAAAGGAAAAGAAAATAAGAGTCATAGCTGTGCTATTACATGCATAGTTTATGTCTCGGAATATCTCCAGGCTTGAAAACTGAAACTGCATCATCATCGCTACCTGGTGCGACATCAACATCACCAACTCCGCCTCAAACCTCACTTTTTGGTTCTGCATCATCATCAGCTACATACCAGCTGCTATAAGCTTCGCACAAGCTGCACCGTGCATGGAATCTCAAATCAAAACACATCAAGCTATTACAATCTTATACATCCATAACAAAGAAGAAGGTTAACCAAAGGCGAGCGAACCGACATAGGAACAAATCATTTACCTCATCAAGTTTTCCCAGCAATCAACATGCTCAGATTACAACTTACTTCCTTTCCAAGATATCTACCTGCACTTAATCGCAAATCATCAAACAAGCTCACAGCCAAAGGAACCGTACGAAAACAACGGATGCGTCTACATAAGAAAACTTGTAGAACATACCAAAACCAACTAGAACCGCCACGCAAATATCCAATATACGGAAAAAGATTTGGAATACCGGCTCCACTCCTTCAATCTCTAAGCGTCATAACCTCGCATTGACGCCTCGCCACCTGAGATTATGGTCGGCATGGTAACCATGAGCCAAATCCTACAAGACGTACAAAGATGACTGTCATATTCCTTTACCTTTTGAAATTACAATTTCAATGCTGCACTAGAGGACATAGACACAAAGTCATACCTTCATGTCGTAAGGCTCTTCACTAAGTCCTCACAGTTTCGGTCGTCGGTTGCAAGTCAGATATGGCAAGATAATTCCCCTGCAGAACATTGAAAAGAAATTAGGTGCTACTATGTGTGATTCAAATCAAAACGGTCTCGCTTCAGATTTAGGCTATGTTTGTCCAAGTTCAAATGAATTCTTTACCTCACAACCTTCAACGGGCAACCGTAAAACTTGATTTCCAAAAGATTAAGGTGACGTCAGAATGATAGCAACTCACTACAACGACCTCCCTCCCTTCGTCGATGGCTGAATATCACACTGGCATCATCATTGTTTCTCACCAGATCCATACCTCTCGGCTTCAAATCAAACTTAATTGTTCATCCTCATCCCAAGCACGCATTGACGCAACAACAACTTAATACGTCACACCAGATTTTCTCTAACTCGAAGCAAATCAGTACATGAATCTGACGACCACATCGTTCACTATACGACATCGAGATTGAAATTTTGGTTTGGTAGAGCTTAGGGATGATGTGAGATTGTTGTGTTATTTGTTCGATGTTATGGTAACAGCCCAGATTCGACTATGTTTCGCAACAACAGACCTCCTCCTCTTTCCAAAATCAATCACCAACAAATCCCAGCTCAGACCATGAAGCTCCCTTTCATCTGCAATAAAACCATTACAAAGTCATTTTCGGCAACGCATAGAAATCAAGTTTGCTTACAAGGCTAAATATCAGTTTTACAAGGAAGGGATTCTTAGAACACAACCAAATTCACAACCTTCGTTTAATCAAAATAACTCAATTCCAAGTTCATTTGTTATTAATATAGAAAACAATCCTAGTTTACCTCATCTCCAGGACAACTTTGAACTACGTTTGGTTCTCCTAATTACCGGCATGCTACGGGGTTTAGAACACTACAACACCACTGTCGGCACACCGTTGAGCTGTAAAAGCTCATTTAGCCACCGCAGTTCTTTCAACCTATCGGAAGAAAACCATGGGAGGAAGTTAAATTAAAGCAAGGGTGGCCGAAGAAATAATCATAACTACTTCAAATCCAAAGACCATTAAGTTAAACAAGTCTTTGATTCGTATTTACAACTGAGTAAGCAAGGATGGGGACGTTTATCACCATGAACATCAACAACGGCTTCACAACTCACGTTAATCAGTAGACGAGAACCGTAAGACAGAACTTGACAAATGCCACTTCAACCTATTGTATTGAGCTTCTCCACACCAACATTCATCCGGAGCCAAAACCTACAACAAACGCGATACACAAATCTTTCATCAATACACAATCAGCATTGAAGGACTAATTTCGCTCGAAAGGGAATAAAATCATGCGTCGAAGATAAATTCCAACGTGTTTCAGACGTGTCTTAAACCAAAAAGGAAAGGAGATTATTATCAATAATTCAAGGTTTAATTTCGACCATCTATAAAGAGGAGGAATCGATATGAAGAGACAAGCCAGAACAGAACGAAGACCCCAACACACATCAGTTCTCAGAAACCCCACAGGAATCCCAAATTGAAAAAACCCTAACATACAGAGCAAAAATCAAAAAAGAAGAAGAAATTATCTCTTCTAACTCCGCCGCGAGTCAATCACCATCCAAACCCTCAGATCTCGTCACCAGAAAATCCTGCCGAAGACCTCAAATCGCCATCGCCAACACCTTCAAAGTTCACCCACTACTGCATCTTCGAACCCCGTCGGAATCCCGTGAAGCCGCCGCGAAGTCACCGGCAAAGCCATAATTATCGTCATCATGGGTAACGTTTTCTTTAAATCATATTTCATTTCGTGATTGATTTTTTTGTGTTTCTGTTAGGTTGTGTGAAAATGGAGAACGAAGAACAGAAGGTATCAAAGAAGGGGAAGGATAAGCCGAAGAAACGATCGATGAAGAAAGATGGAGGAACAGGGAAGGGAAGTCGCGAGAGAGAAGGAAGAGGAGCATCGTTGGAGAACGAAGAAGAAAGGGGAAATTGGGGGGATTAGGGTTCTTTTTTTCTCAATTTTGTTATCTGTGTAATCCAGTATGTGTATATCCACGATAACTACAATGCACCTTCACATTACAGACACTCATCACCACTTGATCACGATCCAACGATCCGCACGCGCTTGCCCGCGATATACCCCCACGCCTACGCCTTACTGAATCATGCGCCCCCTATTAATCACTTTAATTAAACCTTTAATCTTCCCCAATTAACTCTTAATTAATTGCCAAAATCTTAATTAATCTGTTCAGTTAAAACAATCTTTTTTTTCATTTTTGTTTATTTATTTATTTAACTAATGATCACCATTTTTTTCTCTAATCAGCCACTTTTAATTTAATTAATAGCTTGTTAATAACTATTTTATTTAATCAACCTATTTTCCTAAATTAATTCAACCACCTTATTTATTTAATTAACCATATTCAAATCATTCTAATTAACCCTTTTCAAATTAATTAACAACTCATTTAATTAGCCACCCTTTTAATCGATTAATCAATTTATTAATAGTCTTAAAAAAAATTAACTTATTAATCGATTTACTTAAAGCCTTATTCATTTTATCAACTCTCTTATTTATTTAAACATCATATATCTGGCCCATTTGTTAATAAAAGCCCCGTTTTTTAATTAACTTTTAGTAAATACCAAAACTCTTTTTTTAACTTAAGAAACCTATGCCTGTTAATTTTATAAATCTACCTATTAGATAATAAAAAAAACTTTTTCATATTTAAAATGACCTATATTTATTTAATAAATAATAAAACTATTTAATTTGACATCCGAATTTCACCGCGACAGAAATGGTGACTTCACTAAGGACCCCTAGTGGGTTTCCCTAACTTGTTTTTTCTTGTTTATTGTTATATTTGATTATCTGCTTATCTGTTTAATTGTTTATCTATTGCTTTTGGGTTGATATCTTTGAGTGGTGAGACAAAGTCCTACACCCGGACTTGAGAGAAATTATGATAAGATGGTGATATATTCGACGAGGCTTGTAGGGAGTGAATCCCGACCAAGCTAACTCGAGAATCCCGCTTAGTTGAGACCTATTGCGGTGAAAATCGGATATCAAGCTATTGATTAACTTGAATCATAATTCTTTTACAATCGAACTTTAATTTATCCAAAGGAAAGGTCTAAAGAAAGAAAGAACCTTTTTCGCGATGTAACAACAACGCTTAGAGATTCAGGGATCGGGGGTTGGTTATACCTAGGGAAGGTGTTAGCACCCTAAGCATCTGTAGTACCCTACAGGAACCTTTTGTTTGGAATTGTGTAAAGGGTATAGGGTGTGTTGCACCCTAAAATTTGCCCAACCTTATTCCTTGGTTTATGCTTCATTATCATTAGCATTTGCATATAGAGTCATGTACATAGACTAACCACCTGCATAGCATAAGCATAGCAAGTCATTCAACAGGGGACCAATCATTATTCTCATCTCTAGAGGCCTATCAAGAGGTTATTATCCCAATTCAATCTCATTCAAGTCATCAGGAAAGAATTTGGAAGCAAAGAGTTCAGCAGATCAAGCTTTGAGTCTATCTCCTATCTGAGAGGATCTGAGGGTCAACAAGAGGGTTGTGAGCTGTGAATTGAAGGCATGGAGAGTATCTAGACATTATGAGAGACTTAGAAAGTCATTTGGAGAAGGAGACAAGCCATTGAGTAGAGCACAAGAGCTACAGTTGAGGACAGTCAACTAGGGTTTCATCTGGGTCAACCTTAGGTCAACCCTAGGTCAACTGACTGATTTAAAGGGCATTCAAGCCTATTGGAGAGATGTGGGGTTCATCATTGGATATATAAAGAAAGATATGGAGATATGCCGAGGAGAATTCAAGAGAAATCAAGGAGAAGAGGAGTTTCTAAATTAGGGTTTCTCTGTAAAATCCCCTAGTTTAGGTCAAATTTCCAAGCAAGATAAGTCAAAATGCTAGCTTCAAATGGCTTCTTGGCCAACATGAAACTTGTAGAGGATCTCAATACCTTTAATTTGAGTGGTGGAAGACATCAAGGAGATTTATAGAACTCAAGTTATGGTCCTTGCAAGTTACAGGTCATCTGAGGTATCTGAATTTTTGCCTGTGAAAGTGACTTGACTTCCAAGTTAGTTTTACCCCTCAAGGAGATTTCAAATGAATTCTTGGTCAACATAAGAATTGTTCCTTATTGTCTTAGCTTTCTAGAATGGTATGGCATGCCTTCATATGATGTGTAGAACTCAACTTATGGTCTTGGCAAGCAAAGGGTATTTTGGGCATTTGTGAATTACAGGTCATTTTAACCTATGTCCAAAACTCATACAAGGAGGCCTCAAATGGAAAAACTTACAACATCAAACTTGCTCCAAATGGGATTTTAAGTCTAGAAAGAAGGTCACAAGTTATTGGAGAAGCTCATAACATGAAGTTGCATAATTGGTCAAAATATGAACTAAAATGGCTTATAAAGTGAATAAATTCAAGATGGAAAATGGTTTGGGAGATTTATGAGTCCAAATGGAGACTTCCAATATATGATTTTGAATGGAAAAACAATTCTAAGAACAATGGTTCACACACTTTTTTGAGTTTAGAAGGAAAAAAGAGAGATATTCATGGTTACTTGTACTTTAAGAAACATAACCAAAAGGGATCAAAGTTGGAAAGCAAGGGAATGTGCAAGATGGATCTAGAATGTTCATATGAGGTCTATATATTCATGAAATGTGCATTGATCAAGGGTTGGCTTCATTTGCACCAAGAATTCCACAAACTTTCTCATTCTTTTTCATTGAAGTTTCATTCCAATCTCACAAAATCTTCACCAATTCTCATCCACATCAATTCAATCTTGTTCAATCATCATCATAGATCATAATTCAATCAAGAATCAAGTGTGAATCATCCATTTTCGAGCACTTCCATCATCAACATCAAAATTGGAGTTTCAAGTGGACAGCATAATTCAAGCCAAGAATCATCACAACACTGC